GATTGATGATGTTTGTTAGCACGAGAATGTACGCCATGATGTAGTGGCATCTCGATGTCTTGTCCTTATTGATGACGTGCGAGATGGTGTCTTCGAAGATAATGAAAGCGGGCATCAGATTAGCTAATATGAGGTGAGTTGCACCTAGCTTCTCATCAGCCTCCTAGCTTGAGTTCTAGAAATGCTAGGTTGCCTTCGACATTACTTGTGTCCTATTGATTTGTTCGTCCACTTCCTATGAGTGAGTACTTCTATGGTAGATCCTTTTTATGACACTCATCTAATTTCTCTTTGTTCCATAGCCGAAGTGGTGGTTTAGTAGGTTCATACCAAACCATAGACAGGCACAGCATAGATTCATACTTTCCTGCAAAATGTTAATGGACACATACCCGAGGGAATACAACAAGTTTGAAATACGGGTTGTTGTCCATAATTTGTGTGATTTTTATCTATGCCAAAGAAAAGGTGGTTTTTGAATCACTTTAGCATATATTTTGTTTATCATGTTTGATAACAAATTTTATTTGTCCGCTGCATTTAAGCATGGTTCAAGGCAAAGGTAACTTGCAGCAAAAGACAAAGTGAGTGAATTTTGATACTCACATTTCTTCCTTTGATAAAAAATGAGTTGTCTTCTTTTGCGCAGAGTTGTTGGAGTTCATCATATGCCTTGATTCATCTCCGGTATGAGTTCTTCTCGGGACTTTCCCAAATTAAATTTGAGAATTTCCTGTAGGGGTTAGTCCAACAAAAATAACCAGCATCTATACAAGCAATTTTTAGTTCAATAACCAAACTAGACTCCATGTCTAATTTTGATTAAGGAAGACATTTTAACCTAAGCACCACGCTTAATTTAAAAGCCAATGGAAGTATGTACAATACTTTCAAACCAAAGCATACTATGGAAGACAAAAGTAGCATAAAAGCATTTTAGAGATTTACTCAAATAGAGATGAAAGAGCATGATCATGGTGAGTGATTTTTTTAAGATAAATGATGCAAATGGCTTGGATATATGCATGGAACTAAACATGTTATGGATTTGATATGAGAGAATTCAAATTAAATGGATGGATGCATGGATTATTCCAAGTAAACATGCAGTGGAATGCAAAATGTTAAAAAGATAACTACTAATTAAGTTTGAAGTCCATGAGCATGACTATCTCATCTTACTTGATCATACTTACCATGACTCACATAATGCAACTTGTGAGTAGTGTAGCGTCTATTTTCGTCACTTAAGATGTGATTTGAATTCTTGTGACGTCGACCTTTTTGTCCAATCAACATATGGTTAGAATAATATATATGTCTATACAAACCTGTGAGATGGCAGGGTTCTAATGTTGATGGATCTTTGAATGTTCAGGCACCCTAGGGTTCTTCAATGTTTCTTCTTTTCTTGTGGAAGCTTGCCGGAAGGTCGAAACGACGTCTGCTATCCTGTCTTATTTCACAATTCAACGAACAGGGGTAATCCTACAAAAGCTAGCGGTATGTTAATGATCTAAATCTTTACGCCAATTGTTTTCTCGGTAACGACGCCAAAAATACTTGTTGGTATTTATTAACATAAATAGAATATGAAGGATTCTGCAAGCGCATAGAATACCATTATAGCATTTTATTGGGAGTATTTCAGGTATCGTTATTTATATTTTACCACAGGAAAACAATAGAGTAAAGACTTACTAAGTAATAGAGGAATGTCTACCAATCCACATACCAACATAGCTAAAGCAAGGGTGAATGTAATGATAGGAATAAAGCATAATGACACTCAGGAGATAGATCACTAAGATAATGTAAACTAGTCAACTTGGGAGAGTAACGGGTGAGGTAGGTTCATGTGACATTCTTATTACATGGTCAACGTATATATACACCCAACTATAGCTAAGACTAACTCTACTCTTGTGCACTTCGGGACGCCGCTTAGACAGTAGAGCATCCGCAAAAGATAACTCTACTAATGCGACTACGGCCCTACAATTTAAGAACCTGCTCAATTTGGTATAGACTACAAAGGATAGACGGGATTGTCACCTCCCACTGCTACCACACAACTAGGAAACATGGTGTACTCACAGGCAGAGCATCGTATAAGCACCATGCTTACACGAAGCTCGGCTACTTAGCCTAACCGATAAACTAGCAAGCCAAGCGCTCTATGAACCCGCACACAAAAGTATTGATAACCTTTAACTAAGCAAGATATATATTTAAAGTAAGCATAGCCATATAGATAGGAATATGATAAATTGATAATAAGTCTTACAAGATGTAGAAGTGAAGATACAAGGCTTTGCCGAGCCTTCAAGACTAGATCCAGAACTTGAGCATGAGCCCAACTCGACCCTCACTCCCGAGCTACTAATCTACTACATTGACAAGTTCTAAATCTAATCCTCCTAGTGTGTGTTGATCTGAATGAGAGACATGAATTAGGGTTTTCAAGATGTCTCCAAGGAGGGGGGTAGGGGCTGCTATATATAGTGAAGATGGAGTAGGGGGCAAGACATTGCCACGCCATCGATCCACATCAACTCCCTCGATCACCATTGGATGAACCGGCCTTGATCAACAGCGGAGATGGACTCTCAAATGCGGTGGGAAACCGACGTAGAAAGGAGACGCTAACCGGTGGGACTCATAGGCCGACCGACCTACAGGTGGGGCCGGCTGGCCTATCTTTGTGATAGGTGAGCCCCACCCTCCAGTGGAAGCTTCTAGACTCCGTCTTGAGTTGTTTTCCATAGGTTTCATGAGCTGAATCTCTTTCTGATGTCGGTTTGCTTGTTTGGAGAGTATGACGGTGGTCTCAAGGGCTATTTTTTGGATAAATCCTCCTGCATTCACATATTCACAAAAGCTCGTGGAATTCATCAGTTTAAACCCCTATTCTAATGTTTGGTTATAAAATTAAGTACATATGCAGGATAAGCTGATGGTTTTATGATTGATGCTAACGACCATCGACAACGAGGTGAGGCATGTGCATGCAACACGTGGGATGAGAAGAGTGCGGTGCAAGGTGGGCCTATTCACCTGGTTGGTTCCAAACCTATTGCCCCGTGAAACCACTCGGGCCAAACCGTAAGTGCGGGTTCATATGAGTTACATTTGGTTTTGGAGGAACTGACAAAACCATCACAACTACGTTTTATCTGCGAGCTCGCCTTCTCGTGGTCGACTATGGCTCCCTAACACGCGTGGCCGCCCTCATCCAGCACATGCTCCATCGCCATGGCCTCCCCGTGTCCATGTGCACGCTTGCTCCCGCGGCGCGTCCACATCAGCTTCTCCTCCATCATGTGTCGCAGCTCCTCCGCCTCCATGTCCTTCTCACCGATGGCTATTGCAGCAACACGACAACCTCAATGTCGTCCATGATCATGGGACCGATGGCGGCTGTTCCTCCCCGTGCACCCACCCCAGCAATGCATCCACTACGACCTTCTTCTACATCGCGCACCATAGCTCCTCCGCCTCCACATCCTTATCGATGACAGCGGTGGTGGCGTCGATGTCGTTGGAGGCCATGATAAAGGGACCGATGCAGAGCTGCAACTTCTTCATCGTCGCCCCGTCACGTGGGTTTCTTGCTAGGACGTACAGTTGCTTGTCCGTGCGGTCTTTTCCTCCATCTCAGGCCACAACTCCTCGCCCTTCACGTTCTCATCAAATCGCCGCCATCGAGTGCCCATGACCCAGTGAAACCGTCAAACCAACAAGACCAATGCACATAACCCATTGTCCTATGTAAGGCTGGATAACGAGCCGGCTCGGTTCGTTCTGGCTCGTTAAGATAACGAGCTAGCTCGGCTCGGCTCGTTATCCTAACGAGCTAGAAAGTTAGCTCGGCTCGGCTCGTTAAAAGCTCGAGCTGGCTCGTTAAACTCGCGAGCCAGGTATAAAAAATACACAAAATATAATATTTGTATTTATCTAAAGTTTGAGAATAATAATAATACAAAAGACATGCATCTAGACCAGTTATCAGTCAATTTATAGGGTCTAGACCAGTTACCAGTCAATTGTAAAGTGCAAGACATGAAGTAATACAAAAACTAATATAAGTTTTGATATATTTTTTTCTGAAAGCTTGGCTCGTTTAGCTCGCGAGCTGGCTCGAGTTGGCTCGTTATAGCTAACGTACTAAAATCTTGGCTCGGCTTGGCTCGTTATCGTAACGAGACGAGCCAAGCCGAGCCAACCATGAGCCAAGCGAGCTCACGAGCTTCGAGTTTTTCATTTTTCGTCCAGCCTTAGTCCTATGGGTTAGCTTGGCTTGGGTCCTAGAACGTAGAACCATATTAAACCGCAGTTGAACGAGCCTAGTGCAGGGAATATTGTTGGACGGTGCAATAAGACGAGCGTGCGATTCGTAAGTATCAAGATTGGGATAAGCATGATAAGTTTAGAGAGTCGATTTGCTAACACTAGGACTAAAAATGAAAACTCAGAATAAATTTAGAAGTTTAGAGACCTGAACGTGTGCACAAAGAGCGTGTTACTCTTAAACAATTTTAAAAGAAAATGATAAAAAAAAATAAGAACACTCTCCGCGTGGCGGGACCCGACCGGGGAGTCCAACACGGTACCACCAGGTCACCAACACCCGCGCACCAAATCGCATCGCCTTTCTTTCCTTCCCATTTCCCCGCCACGTCACCGCGCACCCTCCCCCACCCAACCCACCTCACCCGCCCTTCAACCATCCCACCTACCGACACGCGGGCCCGCTCCCTCCCGTCCCCACAGCGTCATCCTGACGGGCAGCCAAGGCGCCGCCGCGGACCAAGTCGCGCAGCCACCGCCATTTTTTTTCTTTAACTCGTGAGACCAGGCGGAGGAGGCGACGACATCGCCACCGCACCAGTGAAGAGAGAGAGAGAGAGGAGGGAGGCGCATAGAGTCTCCCCAAGAAACGAGCTACAAAGTCTCCTCACCATTGATGGTTGCGGGGGCACCGGAAGGAGCCGCTGACGATGGGCCTCTGCTCCTCCTCCACCGCCTCCCGGGCCGCCTCCGACCCCGGCGCCGCAGCCGCGGGTGACGCCGCCGCCGCGGCGGCGGCGAAGAAGGGGCGCGGGATCGTCGCGTGCGGGAAGCGGACCGACTTCGGCTACGACAAGGACTTCGAGGCGCTCTACTCGCTCGGGAAGCTGCTGGGCCACGGCCAGTTCGGCTACACCTTCGCCGCCGTCGATCGCGCCTCCTCCGAGCGCGTCGCCGTCAAGCGCATCGACAAGAACAAGGTACTGCTATGCGTGCTCCGCTCGCCGGCGACCGAGCCTTCATTGGTCTTTTTCTCATTTCCGTTACGGCGGAGGAGCGTCTCGACGGTCTCGTGTTGCTGGCTGCCTGACGGGTGGGCCAGGCCTGAGGCCTCCTTGTGCTGTGTCACGCCAACTGGGCTAGCCTGCACAGCTTGCTGGGGGCGCTTCTCGTTTATCACGAGTGCGGTAGCTAAACTTATGCGAAGTTGTTGGCACAAGTTGCCAAATGCCAATTGCCTCGGGACACTGCACATGGCGAATCAGCAGAAACAGGAATCTCAAATAAAGACATCTATGCTGACTTGCCCTAAAAAAGGAAAAGAAAACACATGCTGACTTATTTGGGGTTACTGTACATATATCTGCTAATTTGGGCAGGCTTTCCCTTTCTGAGAACACGTAGGAGAGCTCCTCATCTTTGGATTAGATAGCATGGGCAAGTTAGATCTACTGATCAGCGGCCATGGAAGCTACAGTAATCACGACTGATGGTTTGGTTCCGGTTTCTCAATGTCACAAGTTGTGTGTCAATATTGCAAAACTTATTGATGAGCATATCATGGCTAATGGCAGCTCTGCTTTGGCCTTACTCAGTTATGCCATAACGGTATTAGGAACATATTCGGTTTCACCACACTTGTCCAAATGAAGATAACTGATAATTCTTTTATCTGTAACAAAATAGGCTGTATCAGAAACGTAACGCTTCCAAAAGTGATCCTCGGCCTTAGTGGACACATGTTGGTCACATTTGTTCCTCTGTGCATTCAATATCAGTACATCATAGCGAGTGTAATTTGTTCATAAGATCAAGAAAAGTCAGAACTATCTCCTATTTTGAAATATAGTGTACAGAATTAACTTGACACAGATGGGTATTTTCCCTGCAGATGGTCCTTCCTGTCGCTGTTGAAGACGTAAAGCGAGAAGTTAAAATATTGAAGGCATTGCAAGGGCACGAAAATGTTGTACACTTTTACAATGCATTCGAAGATGACAACTATGTTTATATAGTCATGGAGTAAGTTATGGAAAATCACTCATTGTTCTTGTAATCTTTCAAGTTTTGTTTATAAGTAGGTTTATGTGAATATTTAACCACCACAAATTCTGTAGGAAACCCAATCAAATATGATTTAAGAGTGGTCTATAGAAGTTTGATTAGCATCCTGTCAGAAACTTTTCCATAACTTTTTATATAGAGGAGTTACCATAGTAAGGCCTAGGGCAGTTGGGAGTTTGATGACATGAGTCTGTGACGTCATATTCAAAATTGAATAACATCATATTTTTGGAGAAATTCTATGATAATGCTGGTTTGGTTTATAGAGAATTCAGGACAAAAGGGCAGATTAGATTTGTTTGCAAGCAGTTGTGATGCTTTCTGGTCCTTTTCTCACTGCACAAGCTAATTAAATATCCGATTTCCATTGATTTGTTCATTTTGTCAGATTATGTGAGGGTGGCGAGCTACTTGATCGGATATTAGCCAAGTAAGAAATATCATAATACTTAGATGTCTGTGACAGCTCTTATCTTACCCTTGTTGCACAAGTATTGCATTCTGTGTTCTTTCTCTGTTAACTTATACAAAGTATATATTCAATATCAAGCTAAGCATTTACCTTTTTTTGTTCAATTAAGTGTTTCTTTTACGTGTCATTTCTCGTTTCAGAGTTGATTCCAGAATATTCCTTGAACTTTTGTTTTTGTTATTCTGATGGTCTGGTAATTTTTGGTTGGACTAGAACATAGAGGCATTAGTTTGTTCTTATGAAGATAGTATCGTCCAGATACTGAGCCTACTAGATATAGCCATATAGGTTTCGCTACAATTTGATTCCTCTCTCTGTCTTATATTGACACTGCACCTTGAAACATGGCAACAGTCCCCATATGATAAGAAGTTTCTTAATATGGATATCTAGCATTATTGATGTATTGAGATGGGACATCCTAGTCACTTCCAAACTTCTTTTAGAAAACAAGACATCATAGTCTCCTATGCTGTGTTTACACCCTTTCTTTACTGGTGCCTTTGTTCTGATGTATCTAGAAGGCATCTTATGCTGGAACTCATATTTTGTGCCTGAACAGGAAAGATAGCCGTTATAGCGAGAAAGATGCTGCGGTAGTTGTCCGACAGATGCTCAAGGTTGCAGCTGAGTGCCATCTGCATGGTTTGGTTCATCGGGACATGAAACCTGAGGTATACTCTGAAAGTTTATGATGGAATCCTATCATCAATAGCAGTTGCTAATATCTTTTTATTAAAAGGATTAGCTAATAATCTTACTGGTGTGTAGAACTTCCTATTCAAATCAACAAAGGAGGACTCACCCCTTAAGGCTACAGATTTTGGTCTTTCAGACTTCATAAGACCAGGTGCGTCCATGCACATGTTTTTCTTAATGATCTGTAGTTTTCCTGTTTGACTTTCACAGTATGTATTAGTTATAGACTTATAGGTTACACTTAACTATTGTTGTATGCACTCACAGGGAGGCGGTTCCGTGACATTGTCGGAAGTGCCTACTATGTAGCACCAGAAGTACTCAAACGCAAGTCAGGGCCAGAATCCGATGTTTGGAGTATAGGTGTTATAACCTATATTTTGCTGTGTGGAAGACGGCCTTTCTGGGACAAAACTGAAGATGGGATATTTAAAGAGGTTAACAGCCTAAGTTATCTCAATTCTGTAATTATTTTCTACATGTTCAGTATATATATATATATGCAAAAATGCTTTCTTTGCATGTCCCATGTTAATTAATTTCCTTTAGTTCTTCAACATTGACACATTGCCTTGATATCATTATCCTAATTGCTAATTTAACATGAATTAAATATCTATTCCATGTAAAAGTTTATGGTTTAGGGAAGCTGAGCTAGTTCAGTTGACCACCCAGGCAAGTCCTTGTCGAGGCAAATTTGTGTGGCTATTTTCTTATTGCAAAATGCCACCTAGTTCCTCCTAGGTTGGTCTAGTTTTTTTTTAAATGTTTATGGTTTATGTTGTCAGATAGGCTAACTTATATACAACAACAACAACAAAGCCTTTAAGTCCCAAACAAGTTGGGGTAGGCTAGAGTTGAAACCCAGCAGAAGCAATCAAGGTTCAGGCACGTGAATAGCTGTTTTCCAAGCACTCCTATCTAAGGCTAAATCTTTGGGTATATTCCATCCTTTCAAGTCTCCTTTTATTGCCTCTACCCAAGTCAACTTCGGTCTTCCTTTGCCTCTCTTCAAGTTACTATCCTGGCTTAGGATTTCACTACGCACCGGTGCCTCTGGAGGTCTCCGTTGGACATGTCCAAACCATCTCAACCGGTGTTGGACAAGCTTTTCTTCAATTGGTGCTACCCCTAATCTATCACGTATATCATCGTTCCGAACTCGATCCCTTCTCGTATGACCGCAAATCCAACGCAACATACGCATTTCCGCGACACTTATCTGTTGAACATGTCGTCTTTTCGTAGGCCAACATTCTGCACCATACAACATAGCAGGCCTAATCGCCGTCCTATAAAACTTGCATTTTAGCTTTTGTGGTACCCTTTTATCACATAGGACACCAGATGCTTGGCGCCACTTCATCCACCCTGCTTTGATTTTATGGCTAACATCTTCATCAATATCCCCGTCTCTCTGTAGCATTGATCCTAAATATCGAAAGATATTCTTCCTAGGCACTACTTGACCTTCCAAACTAATATCTTCCTTATCCCGAGTAGTAGTGCCGAAGTCACATCTCATATACTCAGTTTTAGTTCTACTGAGTCTAAAACCTTTGGACTCCAAAGTCTCCCGCCATAACTCCAGTTTCCGATTCACTCCTGTCCGGCTTTCATCAACTAGCACTACATCGTCCGCGAAAAGCATACACCAAAGGATGTCCCCTTGTATGTCCCTTGTGACCTCATCCATCACTAAGGCAAACAGATAAGGGCTTAAAGCAATGTTTTCAAGTCGTCCGATTAATCGTGATTAATCACGATTAATCGTCCTAATCGGTCCCTGCTGACTGATTAGGGGTACCGTCGACTTGTACAAGTCGTCCGATTAATCGCGATTAATCGTGATTAATCATCCTAGTCGGTCCCATGGCAACTAGGTTTACTGGACGACTTGAAAACATTGGCTCAAAGCTGACCCTTGATGTAGTCATATCCTAATCGGGAAGTCATTCGTGTCTCCATCACTTGTTCGAACACTAGTCACAACATTGTTGTACATGTCCTTAATGAGCCTGACGTACTTCGTTGGGACTTTATGCTTGTCCAAAGCCCACCACATAACATTCCTTGGTATTTTATCATAAGCCTTCTCCAAGTCAATAAAAACCATGTGTAGGTCCTTCTTCTTCTCCCTATACCGCTACATAACTTGTCTTATTAAGAAAATGACTTCCATGGTTGACCTTCCGGGCACGAAACCAAATTGGTTCATAGAGACCCGCGTTATTGCTCTCAAGCGATGCTCGATAACTCTCTCCCATAGCTTCATAGTATGGCTCATCAACTTAATTTCCCAGTAATTAGTACAACTTTGAATATCCCCTTTATTCTTGTAGATCAGTACCAATATACTTCTCCTCCACTCATCAGGCATCTTGTTCGATCGAAAAATATGGTTGAACAGCTTGGTTAGCCATACTATAGCTATGTCCCCGAGGCATCTCCACACCTCGATTGGGATACCATCCAGTCCCATTGCCTTACCTCCTTTCATCCTTTTCAACGCCTCTCTGACCTCAGATTCTTGATTCTCCGCACAAAGCGCCTATTGGTGTCATCAAAAGAGTCATCCAACTGAAAGGTTGTGTCCGTATTCTCACCATTGAATAATTTGTCAAAATACTCTTGCCATCGATGTCGGATCTCATCATCCTTCACCAAGAGATGCTCCCTTTCATCCTTAATGCACTTAACTTTGTTGAAGTCCCTTGTCTTTCTCTCACGAACCCTATAGGCTAACTTATATAAAGATAAAAATATATGGCGTTATATTTTGATGTGTAGTTTATTGTACAACATAGTAATATTGAACACAAAAAACAGGTATTTGTATCTTCACAAAATTTGCATGTGCTCTATTTTATGGAGAGATTGGCAAAATAGGATGGATATGGTCGAGTTCATTTTAATACCACAAAAAGTTCCCATGACCTTGCAAAACCAAGATATTTGTTTTTATATTTCATTTTTCTACATCCGAAGAGGCCTGGTGCAGTGGTGAGAGCTGTCTCACTGAGTCACCAGAGTCGTGGGTTCGAAGCAGCCTCTCCGTAGATTTTGCGGGGGAAAGGCTTGTCTCGGTTTATCCCTTCCCCAGATCCCACTCATGTGGGAGCCTCCGGCACTGGGTCTGCCCGAAGAGGATTGCAAAGGGGCTCTATTACCCTTTTGCTTTATGACTACACTCACAACTTCTCCCAACACTCCTCTCTGCTGCATTCTCTGTCAACTTCTTTTTGGACAGATGGAGTGGTTTTTAGCTGCATAGTGGGAACCTTCAGTGGTATATAAAAATACCAGATATTTTAGTGGTATTTTGTGGAAGGGAACTTTCAACTATACTTGAAATGAGCACCAACATTCCTGTTCTGTAATAGCAATGCCAAATAAAACAATGGACTTCCAAGGATGTTACTGACACAAATCTATAGGATGAGTATAGGGAATACGTGAATACAAATTAGGACAAACGATCTTTTGGGATTACAAGTTCTCAGGATGTGTTCACAACAAGAGCAAGCTTAAATTCTCTTCTCTTCCTAAACCCGTGCGACCATGGACAATCAAGAGTTGTTCGAATCCAAGCATGCATTATCTGATAAATGTTTGTAACAAACAATCCTTGGTGACAGCTCTTAATGTCCAGAAATTCTAGCATGGATGGCTGATCTAGGTGGAGAGAATCCTCATTCATCTCTTTTCTCCTAGCCCTAATGCACTAACAAAACAATGAAAGCAGTCCTAAACATCAGCTTTGCATTGACAAAAGCATGAATATTTCTGTATACTCAGCTAGTGTCTACTCGTAGTTATGACTTGTCTGATTATCTTGTACCGACTTTGCTATTTTCTTCACTGCAGGTCTTAAAAAACAAGCCAGATTTCCGCCGCAAGCCCTGGCCAAACATTACTTCAAGTGCAAAAGATTTTGTACAAAAATTACTAGTTAAGGATCCCCGTGCAAGACTAACTGCTGCACAGGCATTATGTATGTGACTATGAACCATCTTGAAAAATATTAAACCATTAAGTTTGCTAATATGATTAGTTTCCCTAGTACAACTCTATTAAGAGTGCCATGATGTAAGCTTGCAACATGACGGGTGAACAGCTGGTGGATGGATCATGTTTAAAGGGCGAATACTACATTACTAGTAGTCACCTTAGCCCTTAGGATAGAAATCATACATTTATGGGCACGAGGGATTGCACCTCTCTATTTAGTGGTTATATAGTTAGACAAAATGATGGGTTTGCAGTATGTCCTGTTAACTAATGCCAATGTCTCTTTGTCTACCTCTCCTGTTTGGGGTAGGGGGATTTGGTTGTTTTTGTTTCGGTCCTGGCTTCTGCCTGGATATAAAATATGCATGTTTAGGCTGTTGTGGCCCTCCACAGAAACTTCTTTTTGTCATTTCTCAAAGTTGGGCATAGTAGGTGACATCGTCAAGGGAAACTACAATCTTTCAAAGGTTATTATTAATATCATTGATACATAACTAGGACGATACTAGTATTACTGACTAAAGAGAGCCTTTGCGGCTTAGCTACTATGATTGGTTATGAGGAATAGGTGTCCTTTCAGGGGGAAAAAGATAAAGCTGCTTTTGTAGACTAAGGTATATCATATTGTTTTCTTTTAAAGTTACTTACTGTTTAGTTTTGTGTTTTTCTTCAGCACATGATTGGGTGAGAGAAGGAGGAAAGGCATCTGAAATACCCTTGGATATATCAGTATTACATAATATGCGACAGTTTGTGAAATACAGTCGTTTCAAGCAATTTGCTTTAAGGGTAAGTTGAAAGTGCCTGAATTTTTTGAAGCTTGGGCATACTTCAGGAGATTTTAGCAGTGATTCATATGGTTTATACAACTTTTGTAGGCATTAGCATCTACATTAAACTCAGAAGAGCTGTCCGATCTTCGTGATCAGTTCAATGCCATTGACGTTGACAAAAATGGAACGATTAGTCTGGAGGAACTGAAGCAGGTAACTATGGTTGGATGTCATTGCTACATTGTTTCTTAATGTAACTGTTTTTCTAACATCTCATACTGGAATACCTAGAATGAGGTTCTCAATCGTAATTTTGTTATCATAGTTTGCAATTGTTAGCAAACTAAACAAATCTGATCAAGAAATAACTATTGCATGAGAAAGGATACAAGTGATCTACCGTCAATGTGAATCAAGCTGGATTTTTCTTGACAGACCAAGCTAATTCCCAATTTTCGTACTTACTACATAAAGACTTATCCCAAGATTAGCCATGCTTGTGGTGCCTCACTACTGCCATGAAATGAAATCCAATTTTGTTGCCCATTACAAGACTTGTTATCATGTGGCAGTACTCTAAACAATATATGTACACTTTTTGCAAGGTCTTTCTTTTTCATGGTGTAGTTTTTGGAATATTTTGTCCTATGAAATTGCATGTGCTGGCACATCGTACTGCTGTTGCCTATGATGTGATTACTTATACCAAGTTCAAAACAGGGGAAGTCTGTTGCCATGTCAACTTAACATATTTTGGTAACTTCTTAAGTGAAAACCAGTGTAGTAGTTTTAAATTTAACTTCATGGATAAACCGGCCATTGTAAAACTGTTTCTTGTCAGTAATCACTAAAATCACTACTGGTCTACAGATGAGTTTTTTTTCTCCTTCAAAATTGTTTCAAGTTTCCATGGCAGCATTAACTTTTATTGTTTTTATCACTAGAAAACAGGTTTCTTCTAAAAGAACGAACAATACAGTTCTTCTGATTATTGGTTGATGCTTTAACTAACCAGTATTGCAAAATACATTTTGACTTCTGTGTTACTCCATCTGTTGTTGTACTAATTACCGGGGAATTAAGTTGATGAGCCATACTATGAAGCTATGGGAGAGAGTTATCGAGCATCGCTTGAGAACAATAACGCGGGTCTCTATGAACCAATTTGGTTTCATGCCCGGAAGGTCAACCATGGAAGACATTTTCTTAATAAGATAAGTTATGGAGCGGTATAGGGAGAAGAAGAAGGACCTACACATGGTTTTTATTGACTTGGAGAAGGCTTATGATAAAATATCAAGGAATGTTATGTGGTGAGCTTTGGACAAACATAAAGTCTCAACGAAGTACGTCGGGCTCATTAAGGACATGTACAACAATGTTGTGACTAGTGTTCGAACAAGTGACGGAGACACGGATGACTTCCCGATTAGGATAGGACTACATCAAAAGTCAGCTTTGAGCCCTTATCTGTTTGCCTTAGTGATGGATGAGGTCACAAGGGACATACAAGGGGACATCCCTTGGTGTATGCTTTTCGCGGACGATGTAGTGCTAGTTGATGAAAGCCGGACAGGAGTGAATAAAAAACTGGAGTTATGGCGGGAGACTTTGGAGTCTAAATGTGACTTCGGCACTACTACTCGGGAGGAGGAAGATATTAGTTTGGAAGGTCAAGTAGTGTCTAGGAAGGATATCTTTCGATATTTATGATCAATGCTACAGAGAGACGTGGATATTGATAAAGATGTTAGCCATAGAATCAAAGCAGGGTGGATGAAGTGGCACCAAACATCTGGTGTCCTATGTGACAAAAGGGTACCACAGAAGCTAAAAGGCAAGTTTTATAGGACGGCGATTAGACATGCTATGTTGTATGGTGCAGAATGTTGGCATACGAAAAGACGACATGTTCAACAGATAAGTGTCGCGGAAATGCGTATGTTGTGTTGGATTTACGGTCATACAAGAAGGGATCGAGTTCGGAACGATGATATACGTGATAGATTAGGGGTAGCACTAATTGAAGAAAAGCTTGTCCAACACCGGTTGAGATGGTTTGAACATGTCCAACGAAGACCTCCAGAGGCACCGATGCGTAGTGGAATCCTAAGCCAGGATAGTAACGTGAAGAGAAGCAGAGGAAGACCGAAGTTGACTTGGGTAGAGGCAATAAAAGGAGACTTGAAAGGATGGAATATACCCAAAGACATAGCCTTAGATAGGAGTGCTTGGAAAACAGCTATTCACGTGCCTGAACCTTGATGGCTTCTGCTGGTTTTCAACTCTAGCCTATCCCAACTTGTTTGGGACTTGTTGTTGTTGTTGTTGTTGTTGTTACTCCATCTGTTCTGTAGAGATGCTGTGCAGTCGAAGTTGACCACTTTTATATACACAAAAGTGTTTACAGAGCCAGCATTATGTATCTAGAAATTTGAGAAATATTTCTAGTTTTCAGAACAAAAGGCTTTGCTGTTGTATTTCATGTTCTCAGAACAAAGAAATAAATTCCATGTGGTGACTTTGGATCTCACTTACAGACAAAAGTTATAAATTAATTACATTCTAGCTATTTTAGATCCTATGTTCCAGGTCACTGAGCTTATACTCATCAATTAATATGATGTGGTGTCAACACTAATGTGCAGGCTCTTGCAAAGGATGTTCCATGGAGATTAAAGGGTCCACGTGTTTTAGAGATCATTGAGGCGGTATGTTACTTATGTTTACCCTGAATGTCACAGATTGGTCTTTAAGTCCACATGCTTTGTTGGGGATTGCTTGTTTGGAACGAAGTGTGTATTATTTTCAGCGTGTGGTGTTTGTTAATGTGTATGTGAGTGTTGCAGTTTTTCCTAGTTTCTAACCCCTCTTTGGACCTCCTTGTGTTTGTCTGATATACATGTACTATACTGGATTGTCGCCTTGGTTGGGTTACTATGGTCACTACATACAAATTCCCAAATCTGTTAACAATATTTAGTGCAAATGAAAATTAAAAACATTCATGTTTTTTTTAAAAAAAATTGGAAATAGTTTGCGGTATGCTTGTTAAAGTACCATATACTGAAATCTGTGGACACTTTTAATCTTTTTCAACACCGTATTGCATAAAGTTAATTATTTCATTGGAGTTACAGATATTGAATATCTTATATTCCATTATTGAGCAGATTGACAGTAATACAGATGGGCTAGTTGATTTTGAAGAGTTTGTTGCTGCAACACTACACGTTCATCAGCTGGTGGAACATGATACTGAGAAGTGGAAGTCACTGTCTCAAGCTGCATTTGATAAATTTGATGTTGACAGAGATGGCTACATCACATCTGATGAACTTAGAATGGTATATATCTTAAGAAAACTGCCAGAGTTTGGTTTCTTTTTTCTTTTGGTCACATGCTTATTCTTTGCAATAATTACCAAAGACTACAAGAACCCAGTTATTCATGATGCATCTCAGGTTTCCCATACATAATTAAAGTATAAACTGAATTATTAACGTATTTTAGGCTGGTCGCTGGCTGACCTCTTGCTCCTTGTCTACAGCATACAGGAATGAAGGGTTCTATTGATCCCCTCCTGGAGGAGGCTGACATTGACAAAGACGGCAAGATAAGCCTAGATGAATTTCGCCGGCTCTTGAAGACTGCAAGCATGAGCGCACGCAATGTGCAAACTCCTAGGGGTGTTCGTGTGTCGTAGTTTTCCGATTTTTGTAGTTCACATAACTGAACAAGGGAGCAGCAGCAGCACATGTAATTGGAGAAAGGCTTCTTGATGTAAATTAATACAATCAATACACATGAATGGAGTCAATAGGTAGTTGTTCCTTGAAAACAAGCATTGTATTCTTGCTATGCAATACTATGTATTGTTTCCAGCAAGTTCTGCAGATGAGCTTTACACGCTCAAAATCGAATGCGGCAAATGTTGCACCAGCTGTCCAGCACACATCCCTCTCTTGCTAGAGTGGGTTAAGTTTAGATTTAGGTTTGAGCTAGTTAGAGATAAGAAGATGAGATTGTATAGTTTAGATTTAGGTTTGAGTCAATTAAAAATAGGTTGTCATTTGGGATTGTATCTGCAAGGTGAGGCTGTGTTTAGTTTAGCTTCTTAGGCACCGGCCGATGAATATAAGCTGTCATAGAATTATGTGTCATACCTTTGGCAAATAGAGGTGCTAGTGTCCAGACGCCCGTGCAGCCTGCCTTTGTCCCCCGATTTTTCGTGCCCCGCATGCGCGTCCCGTCATAGGGCCGCATGTTTGGAGGATTTGACTTGCACTCGCAGTCCGCCCTATCTGCCTTGATTCGAGGCTGTTTGCCCCACACCGGCCCCGAGCGCGCCCCGTCCGCAAGACACCGGCGCGTTGCGCCTCGTCCGCCGGCCACAGCTCATCGCGCCCCATTTTCCTAGTGTCCACGCCGTGCCACCATCACTCCCCGCGCCCATGACTCTTCGAACAATACGAAAGATGTGCAACATGAAACACTCGAATGCAACATACGTATGCAATAGATGAAATATTTGGAATATACACTTGCAACATATGTGTGAAACATATGCAAGATCAAAATAAAAACATTTGATACTTGCAACATGAAAACACTTACTGCAACATAAGACTGAAACAAGCTAAATATTTAGAACATATTGTTGCAATATATGTGTGGAACATATGCAACATCCAAATCAGAACGCTTACAACATACATCTGGAACAGATGAAACAGTTTGAACAAACCTCTGAAACACTTGCAACATGCCTCTAAAACACTTGCAACATATACAACATGTGCAACATCCTCCGATCTACTTTTGTAACATCCATATGAAATAATTGCAATATATCTCTGAAACATATGAAACACTTAAAACACTTGCAACATGCGCTTTCATCGCAACATCTCCTTGTTGAGGTCGCGCACCGCGACAGCCATAGCGTCAACAGCGGGCATGACCTTCTGGTGGGAGACGACGGCGTTGGCAGCACCTCGACAGCACCCTAGTAGCACCTCGGCGCGCGCGTGGGACGTGGCACGGTGTGCAACAGCGGGGGCGCAGCGGGGGATGGGGCGATGGAGGGGCGTGGCGTGGGATGGAGCCAAAGTTCAGCTAGGCGCTAGGCGGAATCTAGGTGCTGACCCATTGCCTAGCGCCTAGTCGGAAGTACTCGGTCCTAGGCGCTCCTAGGCGTTTTCCTAGGCGTTTTGGCAATATAGCCATAAATTATATATATATTATGTATATAACTATATATATGTATATAACTACTATATATATATGAGTCACAGTAAGTATAAAAAGAGGGCCAGTAGACATATCTGATTCCTAGCTGGCTTACTCTTGCTTTCTTGCACTTCACCTTTGTCCTTGTTGCTAGCATCAACAAGAATACCATATTCCCATCCAACATCATATGAGTTCCTTTTCAGGAGATTAGTTGCCTAGTTCCTGTTGCATCTGGTGCAGAAACACCTTGTTCTGTCGACATCCTACATTCAAATTCAAGAGTTCAGTCATACTTGTTATAAGTAACAAATTCAAGAGTTTAGTCATACTTATCAAAATCCAACTTTATTTTTATGGCAGCAACAAATATATACTTGTTATAAGTAAAATGACAACAATGCACTGGTAAATCATATCCATTCATGACATATACATAGATCCACTAGCTGGATCCTAATTTCCCAGAAATTTTTATGTCATACTCATGATTTTCACAAAATCATTTTGATTTCTTATTGTAGTACCTAAGGTAAATTTACCACATTTTGTACCCAAGCATACAGATCTTGCAGAACTGCATGTGCATATACATGATACACGATAGTTCGACAATGCAACTCAGACACATTGGTTCAGACCCACAATCATGAAGGTGAAGATTGGTGACAGAAATGGAACAGGGGAGATGAGCAGGGGAGGAGCTGCCGGCATGGGAGGGAGAGGAGCATGGGAGGGAAGGGAGCTCACCTTGGGGACTTGGGGTGGCCGGCGGGGAGGGGTTCCAGTCGAGGACGAGCAGGACGGCGGCGACGAGTAGACGACGAGCAGGACCGGCGGCGCGCGAGTCGGGGACGAGCTTGGACGAGCAGGGGAGGAGTTCGTCCGGCGGGAGGAGCAGGATCGGCGGGGAGCAGGGGAGGAGCGGAGGAGGAGCGAATGGCGCCGCGCTCCATTAGCCTCCCGCGCCTGGGTCTCGTGGCCGCGCGGGGATTCCTCCCGCGCTCCGATTTGGCGCCAAATCGGAGCCGCCCTCGAGCTCGCGCGCCTACGTGTCGCGTCTCGCGCCCGCCTAGCGCGCCTCCACGCCGCCTAGCACCGCCTAGCGCCGCGATGCGCGACTAGGGCCCTAGTCGCGGCGACGGGCTTCGCCCATCGACTAGGCGTGTGTAGTCGCCGAGTAATCGCCACCTAGCCGAACTTTGGATGGAGCACAACGCTGGATGGGGGAGCTGCGCAACGAGAAAGACGACAGCAGCGAGCGCACGATGCAAAGCAGCACGCGATGGCGGAGAGCCATGGGGAGATATATTTTTAGAGAAGAGATGGGAGACGCAGAGAGTAAGCAGGCGTGAATCATCCGCAGCCGCTTAGGTAAAACATTCTCGCTAGAGAAGATGTGATGAGATCACTATAAGCGCAAAGCAGAGATAATGGTGCAAAACAACATATATTTTAGCACAAGAAACCAAACATCTCTCCCCCTAGCTCATCCACAGCATGTTTTTAGGATTAGATTGATTTGATTTGTTCAATATGAATGGCATGCGTCCCTTCTTCACCATCTCCCTATATGCTTGGCTACACACGCTGGACACAGGCCCAGACGTGCATGCCGATCTCACTCAATCACGGCATTCGGCTACTATGGCCCAAACACCGTCGTGTTACTCCTCCTGAACCTGGGCCTGTTGCTGGGCCCGGCCTGCTCGATGTAGCCGTCTTCTTCTTCATCAGGATTCTGACGAATCACCGACGAATCACCGACTCCTGAATCCTGACGAAGAAAGGTCCTGAAAACATCTGCCATCAATTTTTTTTTTCAAGCATAATAAGACACACAAGCGCTAGCTAAGCTGCTGGCGCCCTTGAGTGCTAGCAATGCAGCTCCATAGGCTGCCTCAGTCTGCTGGGCCTTCCGGATCGGACCGGCACGCCGAGCACCCTCTCCCGAATGGCCGTCCACTTGTCGTTCTGCGCTCCTCCCCCTGCTGTGAACACTTCCTCCACCGCCGTCGCGCCGAGCTCCTTGAGCAGGTTGTACCCCTTGGCCTGGTTCGTCCCGTAAAAATTAGAAACACTAGCACAATTAGCTTATAATTAACTGATGACTCGGTGTCAGTTTAAATCTGATGTGACAAATTAAAAGCAACGGAGTTTGATTTAGTTTGGACCTCAATTCGCGCGATCGATTCCAGTATGCCGTGCAAGTACTCCGCGTCGCTCCCAGGGCGCGGCTGCAGCCTGCACAGACAAAAACCAAGTTGCAGAAGGAAGACACACGGATGCATGCACCTAGGCTATGTGAAGCAAGTCTGAAACGAACTGAAGAACCTTGGCATCATGTTGGGGTCACAGACCGGGAACCTCTCGCCCTTCTTCGGCAGGGGGTATTAGTCGAGAGGGGAAGGCACGGCCGGGTCGATGTGCTCGCTCAGCGCCACGAGCTGGTCGTCGGTGAAGAGCTGCCGGAGCACGGCTCCCCCGGTGTTGGACGCCCCGCCGACGAGCCACGTGTCGTCCAGGCGGTGGCTGTACACGCCGAACCTCGCGTCGTCCACGCGGACTTCGCTCACCCAGCTTGATCGCCAGTGTTGACCCCAGCGACGTCACCTGATTACAGTTACAGTTACAGTTACAGTTACAGTTACAGTTACAGTTTAGTTCTTCGATTTGATCAAGAAAACCCAAGAACACAACACTATTGGTACGGTGCGTGTTCGTGACGCTACATTACTACTAGTACTCACAGCTCTTCCTGGTTCAGTACTGCTGCGGGCTGCAAGAAACGCCGCAATGCTGTCGGTGGTTCCGGTGCACACAACACACTTCTTGGAGAGCCCTGCGTGCCAAAGCCAAGATGAAACAATTAATGGATAATTGGATTGGCGGGTCTAAAAGAATGAAAGATTATCGTTAACACAAGTGTGTTTAATTACCGTACTGTGGGCGCACATCACCTTTGAGTGCAGCAATGGGAGTGCCAGGTGCTCTGACGGAAGGCAGCATGCCGGAATACGGCTGCGACGTCAGCCAGCTCGGGTAGGCGTCGAGCTCCGGATCGTAGCCCACCTTGAGCGCGCTGTTGTAGTCAGAGACGCCGAACTGGCCGTGCAAGAGCCAGAGGAGCCAGTCGGACTGGTGCATCAGCACCGCCGCCGAACGACTGCCGCCGCCGCTCGAGGTCCACCACGACACAAGCTTGCAGAGCGTGGAGGTGCCGGAGCACACTGTGTGGTTGGCGGGCGCGATCGACTCCACGGCGGGCAGCGCGTCCGGGAAGCTCTCGTTGTAGAGGAAAGGGCCGGCGAGAAGCTCCCCGGTGTCGCGGCGGCGGCGTCTCGGACAATTAAGTCATCACAAACAGGTGACGCACACATTATATTTGCCGGTTTCGATGGCCTGCGTCCGAGAAGTGGATTCACCTGTCGACGATGAGCGTGGTGGCCGAGGTCCCGTCTATGGAGATGGAGGAGATGGACAGGCGGTGGACGGGCGGGATGTCAGCGAGGAGCTGGAAGAGCGCCGCTCGCCAGGAGCTCGCCCAGTCCGTGGCGGCGTCGCCGACCTGCCTATATAGCAACTCTCTCCAATCAAAAGATGCGCTGGATGGCTCGTCAGGAATGGAAAGTGGACGCTCTTACAGGAGCACAGTAAGCTCGTTTCCCTTCTGAATGGATGGCTCCTTCTTGTCGATGAGGGCGTATCTTGCTCCGGAAGTTCCGAAGTCTATCCCGAGGTACAAAGGCGTGCCGGCGCCATCGCCATCGCTATCGCCGCCTGGATTCTGCTGCCTGAGCATGGTGATTCTTACCCTCGATGTAAGAGCGTGGCTCCGATCCCTCCGGAACTCTAGTAATCCTGAAAAAACGTATAACATTACATGCCTTGCATTGGATTGGATCAGCAGCAGCACAGTGACGAGGTGGCGATGGTCAGTTACCTCGTTTTGCAGGGCGGCGATGGTGAGGCAACGGCTTTGCTGAGGGAGCGAGACCTGACACCATGGGCGATCGATTTGGATTTGGTAATCGATGGAGGTAGGAGGCCGGAGGAGGTAGGATGTTGGCCTGGAAGGCTGAAAGGAGAAGAAGAGCGTGGCATGGCAGTGCCACTGGCCACTGCCGGCCGGTAGGGGAAGGATTAGGAAAGATTTGGACGGACGGAATTGTTGGGCCCGAACACGGACAGCATAGGGTTCTACTAGGCCGTGCTTGTGGGCACTTGCCTACACCTACAGAGAGGGGCGTGCACTGGGCCCTGCGGAGGGGTTTTACTGGGCCGTAGTTGTGGCACCTACGTAGGTGGGCCCTGCGTGGCTGCGTATGAGCACCTGAGCATTGGGCGGTGCCCGGGCGGCGTAGCAGAGGATCCATTCGCATCCCGTGCTCTGACCACCACCCCCCTTCGTCGACGACTGGGCGAGCGGCGCCGACCTTGTTCGTCGGGGTCCTTCGCCAGCGACGAGCATCCACCAGGTGGGACCGCCCCTTCCCTTGCCCACTCCCTTCCTGCTGTGCTGAACCGAGCACCCCCAAACCCTAGCTGAAGCAATTTATATCCGGATCTGACCTAACCATTTTAACAACTAGGTCCACTGACTTCGATTTGGTATCTAGAGTTCGGTTGCAATGTCCTGCAATTTTCTATTTTTAGACCTGCATTTTTCTGGTCTGATTGCCAAAATGGGTGTGCAGGGATTGCCGATTGGAGGGCCCGATTCCGCAGATGGGCTAATCAGAACTGCGGGAAGGTTCGGTTTTCTTCTCCTCATTGCGGTCTTCGGAGGTGGATTTGCTTTCTCCACAAATCAGAGATGGACGACGACGACGGCAGCCTAGGCATTCGGAATTGGGGCTTCTACGACACTGTGAAAGGCAACCTCGGCCTGCAGCCCATGTCGTCCGTGCCACCTGACCGGGACACAAAGTCACTGCTCCCGAACGGTGCCTTCTTGCAGCACCATGGACACCACAACGCCACGCACCAGCTCCACATGCAGCACTCGCAGCATTCCCGTGGCCCCGCTGGTGGTCGAGCCTCTGTTGGCATGCCTGCCGAATCGCAACCTATTCACATGGACTTCTCACGCAATGAAGCTTGGTTGCACCAGTTGCACCACCAACGTCCTCCTGAGCAGAAGGTCCTTCATTCTCGCCCTATCGGACCAGCTGGGCATGTTGGGCATCCAGGCCATGGTGGCCATCCTGCGCATGGTGGACATATTGTGCATCACCATCCTACTGGCTATGGGATGATATCAGATGCACAGCATACTCTCCAGATGATGCAACCACCGCTTGAGTCACAGCTTCAGGAGCCTCCTCCATGCAAGGAAGAGGAAGCGCCACCTCCGCTGGTTGAGGATCACTCTGTGCCTGTGGTTAGTACCGGGCCACCTCTGAAAAAGAGGCAGCGGGGCCGGCAGCAGAATCGGCAGCCTAAGTCACCAAAGCCTAAGAAGCCTAAGAAGCCTAAGAAGGCTGCTGTTCCACTGGAGGATGGAGCACCCAATGGGCATGCGCCCCGAAGGAGGGGACCTAAGAAGACTGTGGGGATGGTGATTAATGGTATTGAGCTGGACCTTGCCAACATACCAACACCAGTTTGCTCGTGCACCGGAGCTCCCCAGCAATGCTACCGGTGGGGTGCGGGTGGCTGGCAGTCTGCATGCTGCACAACTTCTATATCAACGTATCCACTGCCAATGAGCACAAAGCGCCGGGGCGCACGTATTTCTGGAAGGAAGATGAGCCAAGGTGCATTCAAAAAGGTGCTTGAGAAGCTGGCTGGTGAAGGGTACAACCTTGCTAATCCAATTGACTTGAAGACGTTTTGGGCTAAGCACGGCACAAATAAGTTTGTAACAATCAGGTAAAGAAAAAGGCATGCTATGTTTATCGCTTTGTAGGTTGTAGCAGGGGCGGATCCAGCGTGCATGCTGGGGGAGCTTGAGCCCCCCTACCCCTGCTCGGAAAATGGAGCCCCAAACAATTTTATGCATGGATGAAGAGAAAAAAAATGGAGGAAGATGATGAGAAAGAGAAGTGCCCCCCCTCTTCCACTCCAAATTGGTGATCCTGGATCCGCCACTGGTTGTAGAGCACTAGAGCTGAATCTGTAGGATTAGTTTGTAGCCATGTTCAGTTTCAATGACTTAATTTTCATGCCTATTTCGAGCTTCAGATGTCGACCCAATTGAAGTATGTTTGTATCCTTCACTTTGCAAAATTTAGTGTAACCATAATAGTCTCTAATTTAGGTGGCATGAAATTCATTGCATTAATTAAATCTGTGTGGAAGTAATGGCATTATGTGGAGGTTTTGTGACTTTGTCTGGTGGAAGGCATTTACCAGCACCTTTTCATGGAGATGACTGTTAACTTATTAAAAAAAACTTGACCACTGGGGAGATGCTCCCCGGGCATTGCAATAAGTTGTACTAGGATTTGAATGCAAACTGGCAAGGGGAGACCCCCTATCACACTGCTCTTACCGGTATAACTTGTGAGAACCTGGTTAACTGTTAACTTATTGTACGGCATATCTTTTAAGTTGTGTTTATGAAGTACTCATTATGTATTTGATGTCTTACAATTCCTACTCAAGAACGGATTCAAGAAACTAAATCCTTGACCGCATCTTCATACCTCCAGTGGTCTGTGCAAAAGCAAATCTTATTATTTCTGGCCTTCTTGCTCACCGTGAAATGTTTATAGAACTTTGCTTTTAGTTCATGTTGTATTTTCTTGTCAATTGCTGGTTGGCATGTACTACCTCCCATCGTAGACATAAGTCCATCTATGCTTGTCCTAAGTTGAACTTTTTTAACTTTGACCACTAATATCTAGCATCTTATATAGATTGGCAACATAAGGTTCACACTACTAGATTCACAATAACAAATACTTTCATAATCTATAACTCTTTACGTTTGAGATATATTTTTGTAAATATTGTTAGATAAAGTTAAACAAGTTTGACTTAGGACAAGACCAGATGGAATTATATCTGCGATCTGAGGAAGTAGTATTTCTTCAGAAAGGTTATGTGGAGGTTGTACTTAACTTTCTTTATGGTATTTGGTTGCTATGGTTCCATAATCCATATGTTAGAATAAAGAGGCTAACCTTGAGCCTAGGAGGCTAGGACCATATCTTAGTGTTGTGGTTGTCAATTTGTCAAAAATGGGTGAGAAGTCATCTATTATTGCTATTGGCATTGAGATAAGTGTTTTTTCCAAAACATTTTACAACAAGAGTTCAGGTGGTGAAATCTGGTTATGAAGCTTGAATGAACGATTTGACTGGTGAAGCAGATTTCCAACAGTATGACAAATGGATCTGAGCTTATAATGCAATATTTGAAAATTTGAAATTAGTTTGGTTCTTTGCAGGTAGTTATTTGTATATGCTTAATGAAGAGGCTCTGTTTTAGTCGAAATGTTTATGATTTGGTTCCTGGTTTGTTGAATTGATATCTGGATCTAACAAAACTAAGTAATCATCAGATTAGTTGTTTTTTAATGGTTATTCCCCGCTGGGAAATGCAGCAGGAAGTAAGTTGGTTGCTTAATCTGGTTGAGGTACTGGAGTTCTAGTTTTCTTTGATAGCTAAGTTGGTATAATACATCCTTAAGCTTTCTCTTTTAGTTCAGAGGTTATGGGATTCGTGTGCGTTTTAAGATCTGTATTGGATAGTTTTCTAACATTTCTGTGATTATGTTACTATCTAGGATAAACTTTAATAGTTTATGCAGATGTGGTGATTGGATCATGTCTCTCTCTTTTTCCTCAAACACGCAGGAGAGCTGTGTATCATTTCATTAAGAAGAAAAGAGAGTACAAGGGGGAGAAAACCCCAAAAGGGGATCATGTTCTCATTTGAACATATGATTTTGGTCCTTTTGAAGTTTGAGGACCTTTTGTGCTATGCATGGCACAAACAAGTTTTTAACGGTCAGGCTCCCTTAGGTTCCGTGGTTGTAGCTTTCCCTGAGTTGTTCTATATGCATATGCACTATGCAGAAGTTTTTACAGTTTGTAGCCATTTTCAGTTTTGTGAAATTTAACTTGCATGCCTGTATCACTTAGATATCAATCTCATGGAGAGCTGTCTATCGTTCTGCTTAGAAGTTGAAGGGTAACAGAATCTCTTAGATGGCATGAAATTTAATGGGTCAAATGTTTGGTATGTCTGAATTTTTGATTTGCTATACATTTTACATCTTTCATTGATTTCTTTTGTTGAAATACTCTTTTTTGTGCAAGCAGTGTTTATCCTCGATTCTTGTTGACCTTATGCCATCTTCTTTTACTCAAGGAAGTTAAATTCTTGATTTTGTACAGTGTTAATGATGTGCATGGAACTTAAAGGAAGTTCTACTGTTTGTGCAGCCTTACTTGACTACTCTGAAAATGTTGCAGTACTTCTCTATTAACATATATGTTATTAAGATAGCTTGTAGGAGTAATTTCTCGTTCCTGCTGAAAAGTGCATGTGATTATGTATTTTTTTAGTGTGCTTTGTACTAAACTTCATTTTACATTGTTTGGTTTTCCTGGTAATGTATGAGACTAAAGAGTTTATCCTTGAACCCAGGAATGTTTATTTGTGGGAAAAGTTAGGATTTCCCACCCATTGTCTAATTTACATGTGGCCCTTATAACCATGTCAATGATGCAATAGTGCATATATCTTGTGCTGCTGAAGAACAGAATGCGCCATGGGCAACGTGGGGCTTATTTTGTCTCCTAACATCTGCGGACAAGAAAAATGTTTTTAGCGCCTTTATGTAATAAACTTTTAGATGCTGAAATGTGGTTTCAGAACTCACGTTAAGTTGTGACAAGTAACAGGCTCGAGACTGGTAAAATATCTTGGGTCTTGATGTAAGTATTTTGGAAGTTGAACGTAGTATGTGCTGCATGCATATATAACTTACAAGCAGGCTGATGGGTGTATAGCAAAAACTAAAATCTGATTGTTGGGTTTGTTAAAGGAATTTTCAGGACAACACGATCAATATGGGTGTGTTTGGTTTCCTGGCTTAGTACTAACCACACTTGCATAATGCAACTTAGGCATGTTTGGTTTGCACGCAAGCCCAATTTGTACGGTTTTGGTGGCTCCCTAGAAACACCCGCATCGCTCGTTCTGCTCGTTCTACCGGAGCCAAGGCTTGGATAGCTCCCGCAGCCTCGTCCATTCACCTTCTCTTCCTCACGAAGCGCCTCTTCCACCGCCGGTGTCACCTCCTCTTCCATCGGCGACAGCGTCGGCGTGCGCCGCAGCCACCGCTCTAGATCTGCCGACCATCGTGACATATCTGCTCACCTCCTCTTCCTCTGCCCGAATCGAGCTCTACCATGCGATTTGCGCTTTAATCACCTCTTCCACCACCGGCGCCCAAATTGAGCTCCCACCAGCCAGGCAGGGTGGCTCGAATCGAGCTCCGCGCGTCGCTGGTGCCACTGAAAGGTCCTTGTATGGTTTTGGTAATTGAGTGATAACCTAGGTGGACTAATTGTGTTTATGTGAGATACACAGGTGATTAGTCCACAGGTACATATGTGTGAGCAACATATGCCATGAAGGTGAAAATGGCTTGGAGATGTTGTAAAGCTCACATATGTGATGATGAAGGAGCTTATTGCACATGAGACATGACATTGAGTCATGTGATCAAGGTGGAGAAGATCAAGATAAGACTTAGCTTGATGCACCGGTTGCAAGCGTGAAGGGCAAGTCGGAGGCTTTGGAGCGATGGACCGCGTGGCGGTGAAGCTTGAGCAAAACTTGGCGCCGATGGATGAAGGCAACGGTGAAAAGCAAGTAAAGTCAAAATCGATGAACCAATATGATCACGTGATGATATGAAGTGGATCATGTCATTGTTGATCGTGTTGGTGCATGTGTTGCATCGACATTGGAGGAGATGGAATAGAATGCGCAAGGCAAAGGTATAACCTAGGGCATTTTATTTCACCATTCATAGGTGTGTAGAGAAGTTTATGACCGGGTTTAGGATAGATGGTCGTACTATCAAGAGGGACAAACTTGTTTGCATATCGGTCATCTAGTGCCACTCGAGTGGTCTAACTTTGCATCATAGCTAGGATCGAGTGGCGTGACAAGTTGAGTGGCTAATCCTTTGAAAAATATTTGTGAAAAGTTAACACACATACACATGGTGGTGCACACTTGGTGGTGTTGGTACATTTGCAAAGGAGAAGAAGTTAGAGTTGTTGTGAATCAACTTAGAGAAGAGAAAATTTTTTTGGTGTACTCCGAACTATAGGATGGTCCTTGGATTGAAATACTGCTTTGATCCATTGTGATTTGGATCAAGTATGCATGTGGGATGTGTAGCCCTCTGAGTAAGCTTTCCAAATTGTCCAAGATTATCAAAATTGGAGTTCGGAGCTAAGAGTTATAGCCGTTTTAGCGCTGAAAGGTCCGTGACTCGACGTTGGAGCGAAAAACGACCGGACGCTGGGTTCCAGCGTCCGGTCAGCACCTGTGCGTCCGGTCCCAGCGTCCAGTCAGTGTTTTTAGCGTGTCCAGAAGCAACCGGACACTGGGAGAGTCTGGTCAGTGATGACCGAACGCGTCCGGTCGCTGAAAAACGTCGCTGGAACCTCTTTGTAAGTGACCAAACGCTGGGTTTCAGCGTCCGATCGTTATGACCTGCGCGTCCGGTCAGTACGTGCTTTGCCCAGTGAAGGGGTAACGACTATTTTAGCCCTTGGGGCTATAAAAGAAGTGTGTGGCCGGCCTTGGGCTGGTCGCTTAGCACCCTCACGCCTATGTGGCTTGTGTAGGAATGCTTGGATGCCCTCTAACTCACTTGTGCTTGCAAGAGTGCGAATCAATTGC